CAAGATGAGTCCTTGATTTTCTGGGTGGTACCCTAAAATCAGCCCAGGGCCCTTCCAGTAACCATTTTTCGTCAGAATTTTGGATATTTTTGCTTCATGATGGTCCATATACATTGGGATAGTGTGGTTTCAACTCAGTATATGCAAATAGATGACTAGAATATTGACTTTGAAAAATCGTTTCCAAGCCCTGAAAACTGCACTGGATGCCTTTAACTTTACAATAGAAGGGAAAGCAGTTTTGTATCATTTTTTGTGTGTCAACTTTGTAGTTGAAATATTTCTGTAGTCAGGTAGCAATGCAATTTGGAAGCATAATACAGACTGTATATTAGTGAGGGAGAGTTCATTGTATGAAAAAGATTTGCAGTTGTTTGCAAACTCTTGAAATATAAATTCTACAGACTTTAAGTTCCTGGTTTATCTGATTTTAAGAATTGTTTATTTAGAAACATCATTAACATTATTACAGAATCATTTATTACTTCATGGACCCTTCACACCAAATGTAAACAAAAGTATACTACAGGAATCTGTGAATAGTTTCATCAGGTTGGTAAGACACTGAGTAAAGAGACTCTTTTTACACAACCAAGTCTTTAATTCAGCCGATGTTTCGGTGACCGTCTGTCACCTTCCTCAGTAGTGAACTAGTCAGAATTGCCACGAGGAAAGTAACAGACGGTCACCAAAACGTCAGCTGAATAAAAGACTTGGTTGTGTAAAAAGAGTCTCTTTATACTGTAGGAAGTTGTATCAGTTAATAGTTATATGTCATGAAATACATGGGCATTATTTGTAACTTAATAGGGTAGTCTTGCCATCCCCTACTATTGCACATTCAGTACATAATTTTGGAACATTCTAGTATGACCTGTTTGTTTCTTGCCTTTTCCCTGCAAGTAGAGAAGTCATTTAAGTTAATAATATTGCAATGATGGGTAAGCCCCTGGTGGTATATTAGATTGATGGGGTTGTCTATCTACTTAATAAGTACCTTCTAGATATAATGCTGTGGCTAAATATAGAATAATATCACTTCTTGGATTATGACCCTTCTTTTTACCGTAAGGCCACACAATTTTATTTGTTGGTTCTCGGATTCGTTGCTTCATTTTTTTCTGATTCGCATTAAAAAAAAAATTCAGAATCAACTGCAAAATGCTCATATTTTGCCCTGAACAGTTGAAAACAGTCCTTTTCTTCCTAGTTATTCCATCTTTAAATGCAATGGTACCATTAAAAGTTCAAAATTAATTGTTTGAATTTTGAACCAGCCTGGTGTGTTGACTTCATGGCTCCTATCGTACCATTTTGGGCCATAATAGGATGCCTAGACCTGTTTTTATTTTTTTTCCCTGTCGCTTCATTTTTTTTCTGAAAAAATCCTTTAACCAAGAAATTAAATTGGTGTGGTCTAATTGAGGCTAAAACAATATAACTTCTTTGCTGTATTTGAGTCAATAATTTAATGTTATTGTGTTAAGACATGAATATATTATACATTGGAAACTAAATATAGAGATTCAAACTGTATATATATATATACGGGCAGCTCTTGAATATTTTATGCCCCAAGCCAAGGTCTCTTGTTCAACAAACAGTAAGTCCTTTGTTCTGAACACTACTGTGAAAAAGTCAGGAAAGACCATTCACAATGTACATGTACCACCTGGTGGTGTATGTACATTGTATGTGACAAAAAGTTAAGGGTCACAATTGTTCAACTTTACTGACATAGATTCTACAAAAAGCAAGGTGAGATTCTAGTTCAATGTCTTAAATATTCACACTGTATGGTGTTGGATGTGTGTGTGTCTGTGCGTGTGCGTGTGTGTGTGTCTGTGTGTGTGTCTGTGTCTGTGTGTGTGTGTGTGTGTGTGTGTGTCTATGTGTGTGTGTGTGTCTATGTGTGTGTATGCATGCACATTGTGTATCTGTGACTGTGTGTGTGTTTGTAGGTGTTTTGTTTGTTTGTTTGTTTGTTTGTTTCGCATAAACCACTTTTAGGCATAACATACCAGTTTTGTACATGTGCGTACATGTACAAGCTGCGTAAGACCGGACTGTAAGGTTTGAACCACTCACACCGGGAAGGACCCCTACTTTTTTCGATAGTGTGGTGGGTTTTTCAATGTGCGTGGGGTGTGGCTCTCCCAAACACGGGACCTCCATTTAACGTCCTATCCGAGGGATGTCCCTAACCAAAGCTAGGTACATTTACACCTGAGTGAAGTGAGGAAAGTTGTGTCAAGTGCCTTTCCCAAGGGCACAAGATCGGTGACATCAGTGACATCGAACCTGCAACCTCTTGGGTGTGAGCTGAATGCACTACCGTATCTGCATGTGTATGTGTGTGTGTGTGTGTGTGTGTGTGTGTTTGTGTTTGTGTGTGTACGTATGTGTGTGCGTGCATACACGGATATAAAGTGACGACAAACATCAGATGTTCCATGACTGAGTCAAAAGCCGGCTTGTTTTCATAAGACTCAATTTTGTACCAGGACCACCCAACAGAGGAATGCCATTGTTTGTGTTTCATAAACAGTCACACGAAACCCTACTTCCTGTATCGCTATCACATATTGGCTGTTTACATCTGCTTTCTACACAGCATGTCATTATCACACCCTACCTAATAGTAATACAGGGGTCGAAATTCATTTTTGGAAATAGGTGCACTGGTGCACCCAACCTAAAAAAATTGGGTGCACAAAATTTTCTGTGGGTGCACCATATTATAAGGTAAAATAAGTAGAATGTCAACGAGAACTAATTATGTTTCTTTTCTAAAGAAAAGTACTACAAGAATGATTTTACTATTTTTCTGACCCTTAGAAGTTAAGAATATGCTGAATACTAGTACTACTCTACATTTCACATCTCGACATACGTAAGCCTACAAAAATATTTTATATTAAATATTTTTATATTAATTAAATATTTTATAAAAATTATTTAAATACCACAGAAAAAATTGGGTGCACTAAGGTGCACATGCACTCAGTATTTCGTATTTTTAGGTTTACGTAAATCTGGGTGCACTGTGCACATACACCCAGTATTTTGAGCCCTGTAATATACCACCCCTTCGTAGAAAGTAATCCAGTCCAATCGGATACCATCCCTTCTTAGAAAGTAGTCCAGTCCAATCGGATACCACCCCTTCTTTGAAAGTAGTCCAGTCCAATCGTGGTCAGCAGTCACTAGAAGCTGGTGACATTCCAGAGAGTTTGTCTGTAATTTCAAAGGCATCATTAGTGAAAAAGCGGTCTTTGTTACACCACGTTGGGACAGACTGTTTTGGTTAGAAGCCATCTGGACTTCATGGGAGAGAAATTTTCTCAAGTTCGAGGTTAGGTTTCATTGACAAAAGGCAAGCTTGTATGATATGTATCTTAGAAATTAGATATACTAGTAGATGATATGCGATGTTAGAGGAACCATACATTCTTAGTACATGTATAATGGTACAGTGGTACATGCTTGGGGGCTGGCATGCCCTTTTCCGTAGAGCGTAATCGGCCATATTCATTTTACGTAGAGACGGACCGCTCTAATTCAACCTAGGGTGTCATTGGAATATTTTGCGTAGAGCGCAATGTGCCGTTTTGATTCTTCGTAATAATTTGTATTTGTATTTCTATCATAAAACGTAATGGGGAGGCTTCCTGAATTCAGCTTAATACGTAGCCGGCTTTCAAAATTTAGCCGGGAGTATTGTCGGGACCCCCCCCCCCCACCATGTAGGCTCTCATACTTGTCTGAAGCCTGGAGGTCTAAACGTAATGACTGTGTATGTGTGCCTTGTAACTGTTCACCATGTTTCTTTTGTTTGTAAGGTTTATGATACAATGTAAGCTCTGAATGAGCTTGTGCAAATGTACAGACCTCAAAATTAAAGGTGGTCCAATGGCCACTGACCACTAAAATGGCTGGGGCAACTAAAAAGACACTTTGGGACATTTTTGGGACAATAGAAAAATAACATTAGAATGTCAGCCCTTCTTTTGTTTATCAGGCACACGTCCTGGCTTTTCGATCCAGAAAAATCCCCACAAATTTCCTGTCTACTCCTCTGCAATTATATTGCGCCTGAACATATATTAAGCAAGATAAAGTTCAAGTCATACAACACTTCCCAAAAAAACAGTTTGGGACAGTTCATCCTCACTGCGGGACAATTGAAATTTATTTTCGGGACATTGCTGGGACAATAGGAAGAAAAGTTAATATTGAGGCCTGATGCACTTAATGTACTTTGACAAATATTTCCTGTATCAGTAGCTGGCCTGTTGTTTGTAGTATCTATAAATTATCATTATGTCTAGTACAGGATTTATCAATAATCAAGAAGGAAGTAGAGTACTCTAGTATATTTTGACAAGAAATTTCAATAAACATGCCAGTGTTCTGTTCCTAGATTTTTCAGATAACACTAAGGCCACACCAATTTAATTTGTTGGTTCTTGGATTTTTTCAGAGTCTCTTAATAATAACTCTTGGGTCAATAGAGAAATAATCTAAGGCCACATCTATTTAAATTGTTGGTTCTCAACTTCTCTGATTTTTTCAGAGAAAATATGAAGCGACAGGGCGAAAAAAAACACAGGTCTAGGCATCCTATTTTAGCCCTAAATGCTACGATAGGAGCCATGAAGTCAACACAAAAGGCAGGGTTAATATTTAAACAATGGATTTTGATCTTTTAATCAAACCACTGCATGATAGATGGAAAAACTGTAACAAAGGACTTTCCTCAACTGTTGGGGGCAAAATATGATCATTTTTGAGTTGATTCAGAACCAGAATCTTTTTTTTAGTATGATGTCTCTTGTGTTAGTTATATTCTTTGTGCAACAGTCTCTTGACTATAACTATACAGTACTAGTAACTTTTTTTTAAAATTGAAATTTAGATGCATATTAGTTACCTTAATTTGAATGATTTGATGAGCTAAATTGTCTTTCTTTTCTTGTTTTTTTTTTCAATACATACAGGACCGTACTATGTTCCTGAGTAGGTGACGACAGCATCAGCAATTTTGAATCTGGCTAGGACCAGTGGATATCCAAGTCTTCCATCACCCTCTCCCCCCACAGCCCTTGTAATGGACTAGTCCACCTATAGACTGGAGGCTGCTTCATGGGAATGTACCATTTGATAAGAGGGGTAGCATTCACTGCTCAAGTCTTCCATCCTGTCACCCCTGGTCTTGAAATGGAATCATCTCAACTGTTGTCATACTAAGACTGAAGTGGCATGTGCCATTTTCTGAGAGGGGGTTTTTAGAATCCTTTTTTGTCACCTACATGAAGCAAATTTGCAAACTATGTAATTATGCATATTGTATCTATGCAATTCATTGATATTTACTTTATTTAAAACTTAACTTTAAAAAAGAGAAGAGTTAATTTTGTCAACTTCTGTGAAGTATTTTGGTTACTTTTATGATTTTCAAAACACTCGAATTTCGAACTGATCATATAGATATATATGAAACTGAATAGCAATAATTGTTTAATATGTAAAATTATGATATTGTGAAAAATATCATTTCTCATTCTGGCTACGCCAATATCATACAGGGTTTTTAATCATGTAATGATTTTTTTGAAAGCTGTATTGTAATCAGCTAAAACACTAGTGTTGCACAATCCAAAATGTACGAAAAAGAAAAATCTGGACCATCATTTTTCGGCTTGTATGGTGACAGTTTCGCGTAAGAAAACATGGGGGGTATTTCCTCGCGGTTCCGAAAAGCGATACAGACTGGTGACCAGACGTTGGCGCTGCAGATTTATAATAGCAGCCGCGATCTGCGGGAAAATCTGGACCCAAACTTGTCGTACGGAGAAAACCATGGTAACAACACCGCCATGCACTATGTCTCACTGTACGGACAGAAGGTCCTCATAAGGTAAGTTTATGATTTTTATTTCAAGTTTTTAAAATTAGAGAATCTTCATATATAAGGCCACACCAATTAATTTGTTGTTTCTCGGATTTGCCCTGTCCATTTTTTTCTGATTTGCAAAAAAAAAAAAAAATATAGGTTCTACATCAACTGCAAAATGCTCAATGAAAGACATATTTTGGCCCCAACGGTTAAATAAAGTCCTCCTTTTTTTTCCTAGTTCAATGCAACTTTGTTTCATTAAAAGTTCAATATCTATAATCGTTTTAGTTATAAACCAGCCTGGTATGTTGCCTTTATGGTTCATATTGTAACATTTCCGGCTATCATGGGGTGCCTTGGCCTGTTTTTTTTTCGCCCTGTCGCTTCATATTTTTTCTGAAAAAATCCGAGAAACAACAAATTGAATTGATGTGGCCTAAAAGCTGTTCAGTCGAAATACAACGTACCATGATCTGAAGAGAAGTATGCTCCTTAAATGTCATAAGATTATGACACCTCTCTTTCTGTCAGTCAGTCTAGATCTCAAAAGACTTAGAGAGAGAGAAAGGTTTCATAATGACATGATACTAAAATATAGGTTTCATACAAAAATGTACTACGTTTTAAACGTAATACGTAGGTTTCATACTTTATGAAACCAAACTGTACAAATCTAGAAAGGGGTTTCAAACATCAAACATTATATGTGGTACATGGGTAGTAACATCATTTAAGTTAACATTCTTTTTTCTCCATATCCAGAGTTTTCTTGGATTTCCACAACGGGAATCCCAACAAGAGGAACGCCAACTCTCTCACCTCTCTTCATGAGGCCTGCATCTGTGCCAACAGTAATGACCCTGATGTACAGGTAGGGAGAAAGTCTTCTTTCATCAGTACTGGTAGTTAACTCACACACACACACACACTCACTGTCCGGTTTATCACCTAGGGTCGTAAGTCATGGTCCAGAGTGATGTACAGGTAGAGAGAATGCCTTCTTTCATCAGTTTCAAACTAGCAATTATGCTTACAGAAGGAAAACATATTGTTTCTTTGGTCAATGACCTGAATCAGACTGTAACCTAACTAGTATTGGGTTACATGTACATGTACATGTACATGACTGTACATCATGTTGCAATTTTATAGTAGGAGGGATTTAGACTCCTGTCTGACCAAGAAGGTTCGAAAGAAACCTCCTTGGTCTGCCTATATACTGTAATTCACTTTATGTTCACGGTAGCAAAAGTTCATGGTCTGAGAAAAATGGACATGTTCGTGGAACTATATATTCACGATGGTAGAAATTATAATACATGTGAATGTGTTTGAGTAAGAATTAAGAGCAGACCATGTGTAAAGGTAAACATTATGCATTTGCTTTGCAAATGTTACCTTTCTAGTTGTAGTATCATTAGTGATGATCATATGTACAAGTAGGGAGAAGTTTCCTTCTATCAGTCCATCAGTTGATTTAGGGAGAAAGTCTTGTTTCATCAGCTTTTGATTGTTCCCATAATTGTTAACATTAACTGATTTTATTTCTGTAGGTTGATCGTGCGGAGTGTGTACAGATGCTGCTGGCCTGGCAGGGCCCTCCCCTGGGGAACGGTCGCTACGAGAGAGTGGACGTAGCCGCCACCGACGCCTACGGAAACTCGGCCTTACACTACGCCGCCTTGTCTGGACTCAAGAAATGTGTGGAGGTACTGAGACAGTTTCTTACCATTAGTTCTGCTTATGATCAGGCCAAACAAACTTTTATTTTGTCTTTTCTGTATCTGCATCTGCATTGGTATAGCCGGTATAACCGCCCTTTGGCGTAACACACCAGCTTTGCAGGCACATGGCATGGCGGCAGCTGGCTACATTAGACCGAACAACTTGTTACACCTAACCATTTAACATCTAACTCTAAACATTGTTTAAAGCTATCTAATGATAATGCCCCTTCTGTACTTGGTGACAGCAAGTTCCACTCTGCGATAGTTCTAGGAAAGAATGAGTTTTTGAACACCGATCAATCCCCGTTTGATAACTCCAGTACCTTTCTCTGGGTAAGGAAGTATTATTTTTGGTGGCTAAGCTTTGGGTGGCGAAGATTGACAGGCAGAATGACAGGAAGTCAAAAGTCCTAAGAATCCAGCTACGATCACCGGAAACCGAGGATTGCACACTTTGCATGTTACAGGTTTACCTTATTCTGCAGCTGATCATTGCTCTTACCTTATTCCACAGCTGATAGTGGCCCATGGTGCACCACTGTTCCAGGAGAACAAGGATGGACACACACCGTGTGACTGTGCTGCCATACACCGCCATGCCGACATCGCTGCTCTGCTCGAGTCCAAGATGGTTTTTGCTGTAAGACTCTTGGCTTTTATCCCTATACAGCCGATTAGAATGTTACATACTTCAAGAACAGTTACTACAATGTAGTACTCAAGCAACTGGATTATGATTTTGGAAACAATCAGCAAATTGTTGTTTCAGGTAGCATCCACTACCTTTCGTCAGTGACACTGGAGAATTGTCAGAAAACCAGGTTTATATAATAATTAATTACAAACTATTCATTGATATGCAAATAAGTAAAGACAAATTTTTTGAAAGTCCAAAAGGAAACAAAATGTTACACACTGTTTGTTACTTTGTTCAAATTTTATACGTCACATTTTTACTTGAGAGATGAACAGTATTTTTTTTTTGCAGGCTGCAGAAAATGAAGACCCAGAAGTTTCAGATGGGATCTATACCATCAAACGAGATGAGGTACTATCATGAAAGTTCATCTGTGTTGGTAGTTACATGTTTAGAGTTAAAACTTTTGATCCAACACAAAAAAGTTCTCTCACCTAGAGCTTTTGACCAGTCACTCTGGTCTTCCTCAGTAGACTGACCCAGTGAGGCTTGTTTTAACTGTAAACAGAGGAATGATACGTTCGTTTGCTTGCCCCCCTCCCCCAGTCCTACAGTGGATTACGCAGCCAGGAGCTTCAGGAAGCGAAGGACTCACTGCTGATAGAGACAGCTGACATGCTACATGTACCTCTCTTCACGGCAGAGGCACTGCTCCGAAACAATGGTATGTGCTGATACAATGTACCCAGTGTACAAGTTTTCAATCCTTGTACAAATGGTTTTGATTCAGATATAAAATGAAATAGGAATGAAATAGTTTACTGCATCAAAGTAAAAGACAAAACAATAAAATTACAAATTAATAAAAATCAGAGCATTGTATTTTCTCCTCTCTTCATAGTTATCTGCCATCCACCTTCCGGCATGACAACAGACATCTTTGCCCATTTTCAGCATGTTGACCACTGTCAGAACTCAGAAGGCAACAAAATTGATGATTGTCATCCATAAGAATTACTTGCTGTAGCCTTATGATCTGAGGCTAAAGAAACTTTATTTTGACTTCTGGGTACTGAAATATTGTGTTGGGTTGATGAGCTATGGATGGTAAAGATTGACAGGCAGAATGACTGTGTAGTGGCCAGTCATATGTTGCCTACATGGCAACTGTTTCTACTAGTTCTGTTATAGCTGTCATGGGTTTTCTAATTTTACCTTCCTAGATGGAAAACATAATGTTTTTGCTCTGTTTCTTCTTCTTCTTCTCCAAACAAATAAGGTCACTGACCTGAACCAGTTGTCTGTCACCATGGCAACTAGTGTTGTGTTATGTCATGTTGCAATTTTAATAGCAGGAGGGATTTATACTTCTGTTGACATAATGTTTGAATTTGTTTGAGTAAGTCTTGCGTTATTTTATTCTAAAGTGGTCCAAAGAGATTCTGTCGCCATGGTAACTAGTGTTGGGTTACATCATGTTGCAATTTTATAGCAGGAGGGATTTATACTCCTGTCACCATAATATATAAATGTGTTTGAGTAAGTCTTGCGTCATTTTATTCCAGAGTGGTCCAAAAGATTCTGTCACCATGGTAACTAGTGTTGGGTTACGTCATGCTGCAATTTTATAGCAGGAGGGATTTAGACTTCTGTCATCAAAATATATGAATGTGTTTGAGTAAGTCTTGCGTTATTTTATTTCAGAGTGGTCCAAAGAGATTCTGTCACCATGGTAACTAGTGTTGGGTTACATCATGTTGCAATTTTATAGCAGGAGGGATTTAGACTCTTCCATAATATATGAATGTGTCTGAGTAAGTCTTGTGTTATTTTCTTGCAGAGTGGTCCAAGGAGATGTTGCTGGAGGGGTGGATGCGGGACCCGGTGGCCTGCTGTGAGAAAGCAGGGGTCAAACCGCCAGACAGCGTCCTGGCCGAGCTGGGCAAGAAGGAGGAGGGTGCAGGAGAGGACCTTGAACAGAGAGACAGGGCTGACTCAGAAACATTGGTTAGTAGGGTCACTGTATACTACTCATGCCAGAGGTACAGGGCTGACTCTGAAACACTGGTTAGTAGGGACATGATAGAGGAACAGAGGGTCAGGGCTGATTCCGGAACATTGGTTAGTAGTGTAATTATATACTACTCATGCCAGTGGGACAGGCCTGGCTCCAAAACAGTGGTTAATTAGGACATTGTGTACTATACTCAAGCCTGGGGACAGGGCTGATTCGGAAAAAATGGTTAGTAGGGTCACTGTATACTACTCATATCAGAGGGATAGGACTGACTCTGAAACATTAGTTAGTTAGGACATTGTGTACTACTCATGCCAGAGGGACAGGGTTGACTCTGAAACATTGGTTAGTAGGGACACTGTATACTACTCATGCCATAGGGACAGGGCTGACTCTGAAACATTGGTTAGTAGGGTCACTGTATACTACTCAAGCCTGGGGACAGGGCTGACTCTGAAACATTGGTTAGTAGGGACATTATATACTACTCAAGCCTGGGGACAGGGCTGTCTCAGAAAAAGCAGTTAGTAGGGTCACTGTGTACTACTCATATCAGAGGGATAGGGCTGACTGAAAATTAGTTAGTTAGGACACTGTATACTACTAATGTCAGAGGGACAGGGTTGACCCTGAAAAGTTGTTTGTTAGAACACTGTATACTACTCAAACCTAAAGCGAAAGATAAACTCAGAAGACATTGTGTACAATTCAAACATGGGGGACCAGACTGACTCTAAAATATTGGTTAGAAGGGACATTCTGCACTACTTTAGCCTAATTATCATAACACCCTTAGAGCATCAATGGTTAAACATACCAGAGGAGTCTTTTCAAGATATATGAGGATGTTTAATGATTGCTATTTTTGCCCCCCTCCCACCCCAGTGTGACATCTGTGCAGGTCCTGTATCAGCTGATGATGAACCAGTGGACATCCCCTGTGCTCATCAGTTCTGTCAGGAGTGCTGGGAAAGGTACAGCTGATTTAATACATATTCAGTGTTCTAACCAGCATCTGTCTTTCCGCCATTTAAAGGAATTTTGCTGCTCATGGTTTATAAATTATATACTAATTAAACATATAGAAAGGGATGAAGAGATGTTGTTAAAGCTTAGTTTACCAGTAAAATTTGTCCCTCAAAATCCAGGAAATAGCACTTTAGATTTCACAATTTTCTTAGGGGAGTATTAACTACAAAAATTGAGATGACAGAAAAAAATTCAGGCTGACTAGAACACTGCTTTACTTGCAAATTATCTATTCCTTTTATGTGATATATGAAAAATCTTATTATACATTATAAGATACTGAAGACTTGGTACAAAAGTACATGTACAAACTATTGTCTTTGCAAAAAATGTGCACAATGTTGAGCAAAGTAGATTGTAAACGAAAGGTTTAATTTGTAAAACACTGTGTCTACATAGGTACCTAAGTTTGAAGATCAAAGATGGCAGCACAGGGGACATACAGTGCCCCGGGTACGAGTGCAGCCAGCTGGTTCCCGTGGAGACCATAGAGAAGCTTGTTCCCAGGGAGATGGCCATGAGGTACCAGCAGTTTGATATCAAAGTGAGTCCATCTTCTTATCTTTGTGTAGTAACTTCCTTGTATGGAGCTATTGTTTTCTGTGTGTTTGTGTATCTGTTTGCTTGTGTGTCTGTACATTAAAGGAAGCGGGTGGGGCAAATGCCATAACCGCAGACTGAAAGGAAGTTAAAAGCTCAGACACAGGAAGTTAGGTCAAATTAAAGGTCCTAGAAAAGGTAATCTTTTTTCCTGTTTTTAAATTCCTGCTGGATGCATGTCTGTTGGACTGGAGGTAGTCAGAAAATGCATCTATAATCGACAAGAAATTAAAAAAAAAAAACTATTTATGAAAACAAGAACATTAAATAATAATATACATTCAACAACTCAAAAGTATTTCACAGAGATATGAAATCTTTTGGACCAATTTCCTGTTTTGCCTCTTCTTCTCCAAACCAATAAGGTCAATGACCTGAACCAGGCCGTCTGTCACCATGGTAACTAATACATGTTGGATGACATCATGTTGCAATTTTATAGCAGGAGGGATTTAGACTCCTGTCTGACCATAATATGAATGTGTGGACGTCTATCACCATGGTAACTAGTTTTGGGTTACATCATGTTGCAATTTTATAGCAGGAAGGATTTAGACTCCTGTCATCATATATATGAATGTGTTTGAGTAAGGATTAACAGAGCAGACCTTAAAGTGCTCATGATACCAAAAAAAGTCTGTGAAATACATACAAATATCGGAAGTGTACATACAATATAGTCACTTGAAGTTTGTTCCAATCATGATGACCGAGAAACTGAGCTTGTACGGCCTTCTAAAAGTGGGTTTTTGGAGACTCTCTAGCAAGCTTCCCAATCACCCACTTCGGGCCTCTCTATTTGCATCTCTATGTTTTATTTTTGCATATCTGAGCTGACATTACTGGATGACGTCAGCTCAGGAAAAAATACAGACATGCAAAAATAAAATGTAGAGATGCAAATCACCCGCCAGTACTAGCTTGTGCTGACTTTTCCAAGGCAGGGCATTAGAATTTCGAATGTAACAGGAGAACCGTGCATATTTATTGTAAATGTGTCTGTTAGCCAGGTAATACTAGTTATGTCAATTACAATCAGCTAAGGTCATTTTTTGGTGTCATGCGCACTTTAACTGTAAATTGTTCCATAACACTATGTTGTTCCACCTCAGGCTTTTGTGGAGACCAATCCCCACATCAAGTGGTGTCCGTTCCCCGGGTGTGGCAGAGCTGTCAGGCTCCCGTCAGAGTCAGGAACCGCTCCCATTGGTGCAGAGGCACAGACTTCTCATGCAGTGGATTGTGGGAATGGTCACTTCTTCTGCTGGTAACTTGGGAACATGAAAAAAAAACAGATATTTCAAAATGGCAAGAGTTTTAGCAATCAGTTTTAGTGTACAAATGTTTAGTCTGTCTAATCTTTTGTCATCATCAACTAAGGCCAGGGAAAAAATGTTGTGTTTTCTGTTTCAGTCAAAAAATTAGGGTCTTTCTAGTAGTTTTTTTTTTCTTTCTTTTTTTTAGGCTTATACAAAACAGTTTTACAAAGTAAAACTTGCTTGAAGGCACTGTCATTTTCAATTTCCATGTTGGAAAACTGATTATACAAAATTGTTTTGTGTCTCAGATGGCTGATCATGGAGCTAGAAAAGGTTGATGAGCTCAAAAAATTTATGTCCCTTTTTGGGGTCCACATACAAAAAAAGGCTAGGGTTGGCAGGTTTTTCTAGCGTCGGTCTGGAAACAGGAAACAACATGTTTTTCCTAGGCCTAATGGTGAAGCAAATCTAGAGTGAAAACGTTTTATTCCAACTCTAAAAGGATTGTTGTTTAATGATAGTAATCCTCTCATCCTGATATTCCAGGGAGTGTCTAGGTGAGGTCCATGAGCCCAGCAGTTGTGACCAGTGGAAACAGTGGCAGCACAAAATCACTGAGATTGACCCAAGTACGTTATCAAGGGGTTGTAAGTTTGCAGTAGATGTCATGGTTTCATCTCTCCATTGTCATGTAATTGTTTGATGTGAGGTTTTCTTGTCTGTTGAAGTTTTAGGTGTACTTTAAATACACAGATTGCTGGATGTAATTATCAAATAATTTTCAGACATGCACATTTTGTGAGAAATATGAGGAAAACTTAATGAAAGGTGAATTTTGGAAAGAAAGGCAAAATTTGATTGGTATGTTTGTGATTAAAATAAGGACTACAATGTACATACATGTATGGTGTATGTATATATGGTATGTTGAAATCACAGTCATATCACATACGGTAACACAATGACAATGACAATGACAATGAACCTTATTGCATATTCATGCCCTATATGGGCCAAAATTAATGCACTTAAGTTAAATAACTTGGGTACAAGAATAGAAGAAGCAAAATTATCGTTACATTTGTGTGCTGTATACATCTCAAGTTCAGCAATTTCATGATGATTTTATATATGTCAAGGTAAAACTTTGTAAAACCCTTGCCAAAGTGGTCTGCTATGCAGCATTACTCCCTGAAACATTCATCCTGCATTACAGCCAGTATAGTGCCTAATTTCACAGTAGATTATGACTGTCCAAGGCACCTCCCTCCACTGTCAACTCTGCAGTGCCTTGAACCAATTAGTTTACCTTTCCCCTGCATTAATGCCCTCTGTCACAGTCTTTGGTTATGGTTGACCCTTACATTAACACCAGGCTCAAGTAAGCACAACGAATCCTCAACCATTTAGAACATCCTGTGTCAGCAACTGACCTCCCAAGCCTCTGAGCAGGCCTGACTGACCTAATTCAGTCTATAACCTGCCTGGCCTGAAACAGTCTGAAGTTTTACACCGGGTATATTTTCAGAAATTCTGTTGCAATTCCAACCTAAAAGAACATACATGATTAGTTACATTTAGGACTTCATCATTATACTTCAACCACCAACACCGTACATGAGCCACTATCCTCATACCAAATTTCAGGTCCT